ATGCGAATCGTGATATGAACAGCGCGACAGAAGGAATTCTATGGAGACAAGAAATTTACCTCTTCCCAAACTGATCATGTTCTTTAAGGATTAGCTTAAAGTTAAAATCAGATCGGAAATTCGACGAATCCTTCCATCAGAATTTGGCAAAAGGTGGCCGAGTCTTGGGCGTCTGAGTCGAGTAATAGGAGCTGATATAGAGTGGATATTGGGAACCCTGTAATAAACATTGGCAACCTCTTTTTTTTTAAATTAAGCATGTCCAAATTATTTTTTTAAAAACAATTCATCCTAAGCCAGGCGGGAGTGCCACTCCTACGCAAGGGATTACAGAGGATTTAGAACAGGAATAAAGAGACGTATTTGAGGAAAAGATACAGAGAAGGACGGGGAACAAGATCAAGGTATCAGATGTCGCCCAGTTAATTGATATTTCTGTCACAATTAAGGATGATTTCGTTTATTACTAACACCATTTTTTTGAGGTTCTTGTGTATACAGTATTATTCATATTGTAAGTTTTCACTGGAGGTTTTATTTCTTAATGCTGTTATTCTTACCCCCTCACAGACAAATTGTACATATGGGGATTAGTTAGAAATTTTCGAGGTATTATGGGGTTGTTGTAAAGTGGTAATAAAAATGTGGTATTTTGGTGCAAGGAATATTATATAGATTGTTTGGATTCGAGGTTGTGGGTTGCTAAGTTGAAGATAAGACAGATGATTACCAGTCTTCCTCATCCCCACTTTTGGCCTTGTGCCACATATTTTTTTTGTTTTTTACAAAAATAACTATTAGCCATTGGGAGTCAGTATTCACACTGATTTATACAGGCATCACGACAATTAACTAAAGCATTACTTATAACGGCTACAAAGAACGTTATGACATTTACAAAAGTTTTGACTTTTATATATTCATCCTGTAATAATATTTTATTAATTTGTTATATGAAGAATCGTCAGATGTTATTAATTTTTATCAGTAAATTAATTAAGTTAAGTTTATTTAAGTGTTTTACTTTTTATCACAACTTTCTGTTCTCTTATATTTCATAGAAAACAGCGTGAATCGGAAATAAAAAAAATACATTTCTGTGAATGAATTTACATTTATGTTTCTATCTTATCGATCTACACTTTTTTTTTATCGATCTATGTCGATCTGTCAAATTTATTAATCTTCCCATCTAAGATTACTCCAAAAAGTTTCAATCGTTTCATATGTGTCTATTAATCTTAGAGTTTCTCATCGATGTTTTTCAATCAGATCAAATTAATCAATGTAAGCCAGTTCAGTATCACATGTTTTATCATTGGTATATCTGTCAATCTTCTCAATGAATACTTCTTTAGTTCCTTCTTGTTTCGCATCGAAATTCTTATTCCTTTGTATGTATTTTCTAGCTCTTCATTTATTTGGAAAATGTCATTTCAGTAGTTCTTGTTCCCTTCTCTCATATATGTATTTCGCTGTTTGTCAGTATCTATCTATCTATCTATCTATCTATTTTTTGTGTTCTTATATTTCTCATCTTTTATCTCTTGTCTAACCTAATTACATTTTCTACATAGTAGTGTTTCCATGTATATTTTTGTACGTTCGTATTTTCCTCACCCTCTTTTCCTCACTTCGTCTTCATGGAGCTACACACACAGACACATACACACACACACACACATATATATATATATATTGCGTATATTTTGGCAGCATGTTTTCATTGGGACATGTTTCAATGAATAATTTAGACAAGTTTTGTCTACTTAATTGCAATTGGATCCTTTCATATTCACGGACAAGCTTTTTGGTGTCATTATTAAAAGAAGAGAGAAATTACCGTGTTGATACATATTGTTTATTGCTAGTAATTTCGACAGTAGCACAATGTCATCATCAGGGTGTTGTTTATTTCAAGACAAATATTGTATGTTTCATCATTTTCAAAGACAAAATCGTTCAACTGAAAGATAAATTTTTTTACTTGTGAAATGAAGTACGTTGAGCTGAATGCTATGCAATACCTTGAGCAACGCTTTAGCGGAGTTATGATGTTATTGGGAGTTCTTTAAAAAAAATAAGTATTAAAAACTATTAGTACTAACGTCGATATTTTACCTATCCTATGTATGCATTTTAAAACATTTCTGCAGTATACATAATTAATTTTATGAATGTTTGGTTTCAATTTCTTAATATAGATAGTATCAAGGATTTTTAGCTTATGTTTATTATTTTCACAGAAAAGTATACATGCATTTTCAACAAGAATGTTTCTAAATTGAGAATGTGGACATGTATGCATACATGTTTAGAAATGTTGAACGCATCATACAAAGGAAAACTCAGCCGCCGAGATAACGTGGTTGTAGTATGACCAACATAAATATTACTTTTTTTCGTTGGAGATACAATCTCCCAGAGTGCACTCGAGTCAGCTTTCTTTATTTTCACATGAATCGGTTATGGGCGACGAAGATGACGAAGTTGTTGAGACGATCGCCAAATTCGACATATTGTAAGTGCACCAGAGACAGACTCCTTGCTATTCATTGCGCATATCCTAGAGAAAGTAAGATCTTGCACTTACGCTACATGACCGTTGTATATATGTACTGCTAGTCGTGAGAAAGTAACCTCTGAGACTGAATGTTCAGTAACTGAGAGCTGTTTCCTCCATCCTGAAATAGCTCTTTTTCAACGACATTGCATGCTTTAAAAATGTAGCCTGATATCTTGTTAGTTGAATTTTAGCGGGCCAAGAACGAAGTTTTGTTTTGTAGATAGGTAAGATTAATAAATAGATAGATAGATCTTAATAAACTAAGGTTTTTCTTATATTTCTTAATTTTCTTTTTTTTTCTTAATGTTTACACATGGTAGTATATATATATATATATATATATATATATATATATATATATATATATATATATATATATCGGAAACATTAGCAAAAAGATCCTTGAAACGATAAATCAGCAAATTAAAGGAAAATGGGCCTGAAACTTTGGATTAATACTAAAGGTGTGGCAAACTGGTTTGCTGATATAAAGGAGAAAACGAACTGTACACTACCGCAGTTTGATACTGAAAATTATTATCAATCAATATCTAAAGAAATGTTCCTGAATGAGTTTGGCTTTGATACTCAGTACACGGGTATTACTGAAGAAGAAAAGAGCATTAAAAATTCGGTACTGATACATAAAGGTGAGCAATGGATAAAAAATTCATATGACCACTTTGACATTACAATGGGATCAATATACTCATCTGAGTCTTCTCATAGGTCTTTTTATACAGTCTCACAGCATACCGTGAAATTAATATAACTGGCATTGGTTTATATAGAAACGATGGACTTATGGCTATAAAGAACTCTACTAACTTAAAAATAGATAGAATTAAAAAGATATTATATAAAGAATTTAAAAGCCTGAAATTAAAAATTACGGTAAGCACTAAATTAAAAAATTTAAAATCCTTGATATAACATTAGGTTTAATGAAAAATGTGTACATACCTTATAAAAAACGAATACCAATCTTTTATGTATACACCCTAAATCAAATCATCCTCCATCTATAATTAAGCATATACCTTTATTTATCGAAAACAGAATAAGTAAAAATTCAGCAAATGAGAAGATTTTCGATGAACATATCAATTCCTATAATAAAGCTCGAAAAGAGAGTGGCTACAAAAAATCCAAAATTAACTTATAAAAAAAGGAAAATGGAAAGCATAGAAAAAACTGAAGTAGAAAAATAATTTGGTATACACCCGCATACAACCAAATGGTAAAGAACAAATTAGGACAAAAATTCCTTGCATTAATAGTTTCCTAGAGAAAGTAAACTAAGTACTATTTTCAATAAAAATACACTAAAGTTAAGTTACATCTGTACTGAAAACTTAGAAAAAATTAATTAGAAACATAATGCTTATATCTTCAATAAACACTTAGACAAAAACCAAAGAAATTTAGATAATATAAAAATAAAGAGTGATGAAGATAAACAAAAATTATGTAACTGTAGAAATCCTCATAACTGTGCTGTATAAAATAAATGCCGCACGGAATCATTAGTATACCAAAGCAATATCTCATCTATTGAGAATCCCGAAAACATAAAAATTTATATAGGTTACACAAGCCATGAGTTCAAAAAGAGGTTAAATCAACATCAAACTTCATTTAGGATAAATAAATACAGAAATCAGAAAACCCTTTCAAAATATTTCTGGCACTTTAAAGAATCCAATAAAACACCTACAGTAAAATGGAAATTATTAAGAATAGCTAGAATATGTAAGTCATTAAATGACCCTTTGTGCATACATGAGAAACAATATATTACCAAGTTTATAAAAAATAAAAAATTACTGAATCAAAATAATGAAATAGCTATTCTTTGCCGTCATTGTCAAAAAAATTCCTTAAATAATATTAAAAAAAAATGGGAGCTGGTAATATACATACTTATATTTGATATGAAAACATAATTTTAAATAATTTAAGTAATTCTATTACATTTACTTGATTTAAAAAGAAATATAGTCTATTAATAATTAAAAGTAAAAATATTTTAAAATTGTAGTTAAATAAAACGTATTATAAACCAAACACACCGTTTAGAAAGATTTTTTTAGTATAAAAGTGCGTTTAATGGATGTCAGAAATACACCCCTACCCTCCCTAAACTTAACCTCTTTTTCGAACTTAACTTATAATTGATACAACAATAGTTAATAAAAATTAATATTCAAAGAATAACTACCTACAAATCACCTCCCTCTCTACCGTGTGCTGATAGCTTAATTTGAAATCTCCGATTGATGCCAAATCAGTTGGTCGGGTTTCGATCCCGGCTTGAGGTAATCGGATGTCTAGCCACACTGATGAGCTGTGATACAGGGAAACACTCTCTCTGTGGATGACAAATATATATATATATAATATATATATATATATATATATATATATATATACTTACGGCCAGATCGATGAAAACACCAGTTCTAGTTCGATCACCGGAGTTAAGCATCGTAGAGCCAGGTCAGTACTTATTTGATGGGGTACGCTTGGGGAAACCTTGTACTGTAAGCAAACCATTAGTATCGGGTTAAACTTCTGATTTTGCGGCACCTCGAGGCGGTGTAGCGATTAACAAGCTATTCTCACTAGAACAGTTACCACTGAGTTGTGAGTTCGATCCTCACCGGGTACCCCATACTTTCGGCCTTGTGCCACATCTAAGTTAAATCTTGGAAAATCACTATATATATATTTCATCACGAACATACAATATATTTGTTTGTGCATTCATTACTCATTTCATATTGATCTCATCTATAAATCATTCTTCAATTTGGGGATTTTCTCTCTATTTTATTAAAACCTCAAACGAACCAAGACGTGACATGTTTTTTTTTTTTCTGTAAAATTTTACATATTTTTTATTTACCGGACGGATCACTCTCACGATACAATTTGGACAGCCATGTGAAAATCCGAACAATGCACTGATTTATGAAAGAAACTGCTGCAAAAGCAGTAATCATCGCTGTAATCTTCTGTAGCAGTCAATAACATTTGAAATCTTGACATGGCATTTGATCAAAATCGAAAATCTCGACAAATAGTTTTAAGCAACAAAACTCAATTCTTTCCCAGACTTCTCTTCCTTTATATACAGCATCAGCGAATAAACATTACTTCGACATGTCTAACATTCTTTATAGAGTCGCTCTGATTGACTCAATGTTTTAATTGATCCGTCCTTCAGGACTTGTTAAGTGAAAAAACAATTAAACATATTTAACGTATTTACTTTGTAGTATATCTGACATATTTTTCTTTAGATTTTGTTTAGGATTAAACAAAACCTAAAGAAATAAATATATCAGATTACCAAAAATAGCGAGGTAAGATTGTAAGTGCGTCCATCTTTAATATGCTATCTTTAAAATAGGTAGTCACAATTGTTGGTCTGTCTGTACTTCTTATTTATTTTCCCATAGTATTGTGTTTTCCTTCACGTTACAACTGCGAAACACACAAAAACCTTATTTCTAGAAAAATAGCAACCTTAATACTTAAAATTTCATGTTGTCTCCAGTTAAAAAAATTAGATAGGCACATTAAAATTATAATAAATGTACACAATTATCCATTTTTTTTTACCGAGAAAAAATAGTTATTATGTGTTTAATCATTTATCTATGTAAAATTGATCGGCCGATATATTTGATATATATATATATGTGTGTGTGTGTGTGTGTGTGTGTGTATGTGCGTGTGTGCGAGTGCTCGCGCGTGTGTGTGTATATTCTCTTGGTGTATAAAAATATAACAGTTTAAATTTTATTTTGTATTCTCATTTAAAGTTGGCTTTGTTAAGTGTTATATTGCTTCTTAAGATGTCTTTTATTTACGTTTTATGGATAATTTTGTTTGAATATGTGATTTCATTAAAAATGCCATAAAATTAGTGACGTGACATTGTAGTTAATGTGTCACTATCTTTTGGCATTTCATTTCTGTTCAAATTTGAATTCTCTTTTCTCTGCATAGTTTTATTGTCTTACCTCGTATCAACATCTCATATGTCATTTTCTGAATTTTCCTCTTCCTTTGTAATTTTGAATATACTCTTTCTTTTGCTTTTCTTTTCTTTCTCTTCTCTTGGTAGCAGGGTTAACTTCTTTTACATCCTCTTCCTTTTATTGATTTCTTCTTTTCTTTTCTTTTCTTTATAAAAATCTTTTTTACGTCGTGGAAAATGAAGTGGTGTTTCATAAGTTGGAATTTTAATAAAATCGCGCATTGTTATGATTGTTAGCTATCTAATGAGATGTTGTTTACTAAACGGCAAGACAAAATGTACAATTTTGTAGTAGTAACTTATATGTTCTAATGTAACATTGTATCATATATATATATATATATATATATATATATATATATATATATATATATATAGGTAATTCATAGAGTCTGAAACCTCAACAGAATGCAGAAAGCACTGGACGGCCATGGCGTCATATATTTGGGACTCATCAGCCGTGCGCATACACTACTGAGAATTGAAACCTGAAAATTAGGTTGTCAAGCAAATCATACCAACTGTAATTTATATATATATATATATATATATATATATATATATATATATATATATATATATATATATATATATATGTGCCTAAGTGTGTGTTTATATTTCTATTAATGTACGCATGTATGTGGCTATATAAAATCGGTGAAGGGTCAAGTAGGTTTATATTAATTTCGTTTTAAATGCACCCAGTTAATTTGCAGTTACTTGGTGTTTACTTCACATTAATTGTATTGCGATATGCAATAGCATTTTCGTGAGTAAACGAAACCAATACCATTTTTCGGTAACTTTAACTATATGCGCCTTCAAAATGCACTGAGTTTCCACGGAAGCGCTATTCTAAAATTTGGCCTGCATTACAAGTAAACTTCAAGCGAGAAAGAACAATGCAGGATTGCAGAATTCGCTATGCATGTTAACAAATGAATTACGCGCCTGCCAAGGCACTAGATCTGTCTCTTTTCCCCTACTTCACGGCCTTTCACACGTACATCTGATCATGGCATTGCATATCTATTACATCAAGCAGACAGAGCGCCATTAAATTTGTAGAGAGAATTACTTTTGCTTAGGCGGCAGGCTGCCATTCTTGCAAATGAATAGCGTCAGTCGGTCATGCCAGCCAAGGATCTGCCGAAGATATGAACAGAGTGGCAATTTCATTCGAGATAAAAGCAAGCATATGGTAGTGACAGGAGCATTTGACAAGAGGATTCTATTTCTAATAAATCAAAACCTTCAAATGGTTGTGATAATGAATTGCTTGCTCATTTAATCCCAACCATGTCTTTCTGTTTTTTTTTTTTTTGTCTGACAAACTTCTATCGATCTAGAAGTACCAGCTCGCTATCTTAAATGTAGTATGGTACAAGATAAGAAATAAAGTTACACAAAGATAATCGATATCACCCAGTTTTAATTATCTGGGGAAGCAAGTCTTCTCACGAATACTGGAGGATACTGGATTTCTTTGTCGATATAACTAATCTAATGCTAGCCGGGTGCAAGTCAACGTGCGGTGTATGGGGATTGTCTAAGCGCAGCGTTGATGTGGCACAAGATCGAAAGTATGGGAAACCCAGTGAGGATCGAACTCACTATTCAATCGTAATTGATCTTGCAAGACAATCTTGCTAACCATTACAGCACGTCGAAGTGTCACAAAACGGAGGGTGTAAGGAGGAAGATCTAACCATTAAATTACCTTTGAAACAACGTGTTATACGTACTGAAAGGACTCTATACATATATATATATATATATATATATATATATATATATATATATATATATATATATATATATATATAAAGTCCTTGGATGTATTTCATATATATATATATATATATATATATATATATATATATAAAGTCCTTGAATGTATTTCATATATATATATATATATATATATATATATATATATATATATATATATATATATACAGAGATAGAGAGAGAGGGAGGGAGGGAGAGAAAGAAAGAGAGAATCTCTATCTATCATCTATATCAGTCATTATTTATCTTATAATGTTCTCTCTCTCTTTCTCTCTCTCTTTCTATCTATCTATCTATCTACCCAGTGAGTTTGTGCCTTTCCATCTGTTTCAGTTTGTGCAAATAAGCCACAATGGAGGTTATTATTTTAAAGAAAAATATACTTGTATGAATATATTATCTTTAAATTATATTATGTTTATTGTGTTTTCTTGTATTCTAAAATTTTAACGATTGATCGGGGTGTAAAAATTGTCCGTAGTGTCTATTGTGTCAATCGCTCTTCGCCCATCTCTTTAACAAGGGTTTTTGTTTTTAACTGATAAAATTGTCTAACAATTGTCATTGGCTAAAGAAGTGGCCGAAGCACTTTTGTTTGTATTCATACTGTTATTCTATTCGGATTTGTGTTATTTTAATGGGTACATTTGACACTTTCTCGTATACTTTCTGCAAATATTGCCGTATCCCTAATCGACCCAAGTTACTTAGCGTTCGTTAGGCAACCAACCTACCTTCAAGTAAATACGAGAAGAATTTAAGAAAAAATGGTCTTTTTAAATTTAACTGTAACATAATTACAATGGAGTAGGCAACTGGATTCCACTCCACTATCAATCCCCAAAACATATATCCTTATAGATGAGTGATTAGACCAGACCCAGGAGTAGATCAGTGCGGGTACGTCAAAAACACTGGAACAAGGAAGGCGATATTTATGATCAGAATGTTATCAGAAAGACCAAAGCAAATGAACAAGGACGTACACTTGTGTTCTATAGATTACGCAATGGCATTTGATAAAGTACTCTCCAAAGATCTGTTAGAACTGCTCATCAACCTGAACATAATTAGGAATAAAATTAGAATAATCAAGAAACTATACTGGCAGCAAAACAATTGTATACAGATAAAAAATGAATTTAGTAGATATACATAGACAGAAGTGTAAGATATGGAGTGGGTCTTCTCACCTAGGCATTTCTGAGGGAATTAGATGTTCTTCCTGGCTTCAGTATTGGCGGCAAAAATCATACCAATATACGATATGCAGATGATACACTATTTATAATAGACACGGAAACAAAACTATAAAATACCCACAGAAGGTAGTGACGGAAATCGTGAAGAAAGGACTAATCGTACACTGTAAGATAACAGTATCCATAGTTACTAGTAGAAGGATGAGCCCAAAATGTAAATTACAAATCGGAGATACCAGAATCCACCAAGTACAAACATTTAAATATTTGGTAAGTCTTTTAACAGGGGACAGAAAATGTGACATTGGAATCCAAAAACGTATTCTGTTAGCCAAATATGCATTCCAAAATCTAAGCAGATTATTACGATTTAAAAAAAAATCATTAGAAATAAAGAAACGAGCATTGAATTGGTATATGACATATGATGTCATTCATAGCAGCGAATGTTGGACAATTTCCTAAAAAGATGGAGCATTGAGGAATCGGAGAGCTGAGTTCGAATTC